GCGCCTGGCCCTGCAGCAGCGGCTCCACGGCGGCCACGTCCTCCAGGCGCGGCAGGGCCGGCGGGGGCGACGGGGCAGGGCGCCCGCCGCCCTTGGCACGCGGCTTCAGCTCCACGGTGACGGCCGCCAGCTTTGGGGGGACGACGGCGGCCGTGGGGATGGTGGCGCCGAGGCYGCGCGTCACCCCCCGCTCCTCCCTTCCCCCTCGTCGCTACCTCCAGCTCTTCCTCACGGCCATCGCTGTCCTCCATGGCATCGTCCTTGTCCTCCGCACCTTCGTCCTCCTCTGGGGCGCAGGGCGCCAGGCTGACGCCGGCGGCCACGTCCGGCAGCGCTGCAAGGGGCCACGCGGTCAGCGCCGACGCGCCATGGCACGCGGGGGCTAAGCCCATGGTGGGATGTGGATGCGCCCTCACCCGCCAGGGCCTCGGCATCGCCCCGCTCCAGGGCCTCCAGGTCGAGGGCAGGCGCCAGCGTGGCCATGATGCGGGTGTCCAGCACGGCGGGGGCGGCCGGCGACTCGGGCGGCAGGGTGTAGTAGGGGATCTTCCCGCTGGTGGTGGCGACGAAGCCACGGGGAGAGCGTGCTCCCCCCTTTTCCCCTGTGTCCCCCCTAAACGTACCTGCTCCAGTCGCGCAGGAGGGCGGCGGCGGCCGCGTGGGCGTCGGGGAGGCCGCCCGGGCGCAGGCGGCCCTGCTGCCGCGCCAGCAGGGCCAGCGTCTGCCTGGGGTCGGCGCAGGGCGCCACGCCATACAGCTCCCGCACCTATATACGCGTCGGGGACATATAGATGGCGTTGGATGTGCCATCCCGCCCCCGTAGAGCGAGGGTGGCACCTGGTCGGGGCGCAGGCGGCGCAGGATGGCGGCCGCGGGCGCCATGGGCTCGCCGGGGCAGGCGCCGCGCAGCGCCGCGCCGGGTCCTCCCGCCAGCACGCCGGGGCAGTCGAGCAGCCGCAGGCGCCGGTCCAGCTGCACGGCCTGCAGGCACCTGCGTGGGATTTGGGGTGAAGCCGCGCCTCTCGAGCCCTGTCCCCCCATAATGAGGAAGGCACGGGGGACATGGGGGGACGACTCACTTGGTGACCCCCGGCTCTGCCCCGACGCGACAGGCCCGGCTCCGCTTCAGGCTGTTGATGAGGCTGCTCTTGCCGACATTGGGGAACCCTGGAGGGGGTAACAGCGGGTCCAGGCGCCCCCTTTCCCRGGATGTCCCCCCAACAACGCAGCGCCCCGCTCACCCACGACGCCCACGGTAATGGCCGTCTTGACGTCCTGCGAGCGGCTGTAGTTGGCCAGCACGTGGAGCAGCACGTCGGCGCCCACGCAGCCCGCGCCGGCCAGCACCTCCTGCGGCGCCGTCGCCGCCGCCCCCCGGCTCTGCTTCTGCAGGGATGGGGACACAACGACCGCCGTGGCACCGGGACGGGGGGCAAGCCGCCGTAGCCCCCCGCCCCGGCCGCGCCGCCCTCACCAGGTTGCGGCTCTGCTGCTGCGTGCACGCCTTGAAGGCCACGGTGGGGAACTCGGCGCGCAGGAACTTGAGCCACTTGGCCACCACGTCGCGCGACACCAGGTCTTTGGGGGCGAGAGCGGCAGTGAGCCCCCCCGCCCCCGTTACTGGGGTCACCGGGGGCCCCCCCGACGCACCGATCTTGTTGAGGACGAGCACGAGGCGCTTGCGGGGCGCCGCGCGGCTCACGGCSGCCTCCAGGCGCCGGCTGCGGCAGCCCTGCGGGTCGCGGGCGTCCAGCACCTCCAGCACCACGTCCGAGGCGGCCAGCACCTGCCGGGGGGCGGGGCAATGCACGCCACGCCCCGAGACCACGCCCCCGCCAGGCCACGCCCCCTAGGCCACACCCGCACCAGGCCACGCCCCCAAGACCCGGCCTCCACCAGGCCACGCCCCCGCCCACGTGATGCAATGCACGCCACGCCCGCGAGAGCACGCCCCCATCAGGCCACGCCCCACCCACGTGACAGTGA